GCAAAAGTTTAGTCAAATAGGCCAAATCCCATGTCATCATCAGATTCCTCAGACTCCTCCTTCTTCTCTTCTTTCTTCTCCTCAGCTGCAGAGAGAAAAGTTTTGAACAGTGTTTACTCATCTGGGAATATTTACAGTACATTTTGGACATTGCAGGTGTGAGGAGATCCCAAAACACGCTCTCTTCATGGAAGCATATCTTCCAATTAAATGAACACAAGTCACCCCTTTAAGTTTCAGTCTCCATGTCTACTCTGTGCGGTGCTAACGGATTCAGTTTCTTTTTAACCTATACGTTTAAAGATTAAGTGCCAAATTTTGCCTTCAGAGACATGCACAACTCTCAATTACATCCACAGGAGTTGCATACACATACCTGAGGGTCCATTTTGGCTCTATAGACTTAAACCAGAACAAATTAATGAAGGTGAGGAGCAAGCAACTGTGTATAACTCTTACTGATTGGCTGGTTTTAACTAACCGCCTTCTCTGTACACCACTTTAACAGTTCATTCCCAGCTACAGTGCAGAGATGGTCTTCAGCACTAAACTATGTCAGTCAATATTTCAATCTCAGGACAAGAAGCCAAACTACAATAAAAGAAGGAAAAGCTTCCTAAATTTACATGATGGGAATTAAGGCACTAAGATTTTAACGTATACTCACCAGCAGCAGGTGCAGCCGCAGGAGCAGCAGAACCTGGTCCAGCTGAGACTGCTACAGCTCCACCAACTGGCATGCTGGCAAGTTTGCCGTTACCTGTAAGGAACAAAAGGGTGGAGAATAGTAATTAAGCACTCAGAGCAGTCCTGGCCCTGCAAATACTGCAACGTGCAGAACCAAAGTTATGTAGTAAGATGGCACCTAGTCAATATGGTATATGGACACGTCTATGAGAAAAATATATAAAAATACATAAGGGATGTGATTACAGGCTAGCCTCTGACAAATTAACCCACACTAGCCACTTGCAAGGAACAACAAGGTGCCGGGTATTTTTGTTTGTTCAAAATACAGCACATTCTACAACAAGATTCCAGAGTTTAAGACTGAAACACTGGGCAGCTAGCCTACCAAAAAATCAACCTGGTATTGACAATAGTTTTGGGCAGAATTTTTTTGCCTACAAAATCCCCCAAAGCTCTCTAAATCCATATTAAAAAGTAAGACATCAACAGCAAGCAAACTTTACCAAAGAAAGAAAAAGGTATCCTTCGAGAAGAGCATTTCCAATATGACCTCTGCTAGGTCCTGTCTAGTCTATATTGTCTACAATGTGCTACAACCTTGGACTTTGCAGGAATGCAGCACTGTTTGGGAATATGATTAGATTCCCATGTATAGAAGAAGACCAAACAACATTTTAGCTGTTCCAAGGAGTACTGTGTAATAACCAGGCCCCTCCAACACAGTAGGAATTACATCACAGATGGGGACCTTTGAGATTAGTGAACTCACTACTGCTTAATGTCTCCAATTTCTGGAAAGTTAGCTCTCTGCCTTTTCTCTTGTGAATACTGAGATTCCCTCTGCTTTCAAAGTTTTCAAGTCTTTTTGCTTGTACTCCATTTCTAAGAATCAATTTCTAAATAATTCCTTAGAATTTCAGATTCCTATAACTAGCAAAATAAACATGTTTTATAATCATGTCAGATATTCTAGGAAGCCACATACAGTAGAACCTCAGTTACAAACATCTCGGGAATGGAGGCTGTTTGTAACTATGAAATGTTCATAACACTGAACAAAACATTATGGTTCTTCTTTCAAAAGTTTACAACTGAACACTGACTTAATACATCTTTGAAACTTTATTATGCAGAAGAAAGATTCTGCTTTCCCTTTTTAAAAAAAAAAATAGTTTACGTTTAACACAGCACTGTACTATATATTTTTTTGTTTCTTTGTTTTTTATTGGGTCTCTGCCGCTGCCTGATTATGTACTTCTGGTTCCAAATGAGGTGTGTGGTTGACTGGTCAGTTCGTAACTCTGAGATTCTACTGTATTTCTAAAATAAAATTATTCCATCAGCAGACAACTGAATCATTTTAAGTCTCTGCATGCATAATGGCTCTCTCAGGTCTTTATACAACATTCACAGAAGTATCTAATAGCTGCTATACTTACTGACAATCATTAATGCCTGATCCTGTGAGCACTTAGGCATGTGAGTAAAGTTACAAAAATATCTGCTTAAGTGTTTGAAGGAATGGGGATTAGATCATTAGAGAGCTTTGGGCTATCTAAAAACAACGTATTTGGTCAGAGCAAAATATTCCACAAGTGGAACATTCAAATTGTTGTGCCTTTCTAAATTCATATTTATTAATTTTGCACTGAAAATAAAATGTGATTTTTCACTTCAGTGTTCTCTCTCAATAAGATTTATCATTTCTAGGTCTCCCTGAAATAAAGAACAGAAGGCGTGTGAATGAAGTGTTTAGTTCATGAAGTGACTTCTCTGCAAAAGAAAGTTCAAGAACACAATTGGGTAAACCAAGAACTACAATTTAGAATGCTAAAGTTTGGCTCATTCTCTCACCTAGCAACATGTCCAGAAATCTCTTGTTATGAGCAGACTAACTGTAAACTCATATTTAAGAGCACTTTCCAGTTTAATCTGGTCCACAAGCGAAACCTAGCAGGTACTGGCACTGACCTGCAGGAATTAGGATGGACCCCTACCCATTATATGATTTATCCCAATTTGTATCTTAATTGAGAGCCCTCTAAAGCAAGTCTGATTTAATGAAGAAAAAACAAAATGAGGAAAACACAAAATCTGGTAATTCTCTGCCCTTAAGGATCTTTAAATTAGTGACTGAACTAGAGAGGCAATCATCATAAATGTCACCCCCATGCCAACACCATGAGATTTTACTTACCCTGAGCAATGACATCCTCTATATTTTTTCCGTTCAGTTCACCAATAACCTAAGGAAATTACAAAGTATTAAAACAAATTGTTTGATAAGCTGTTTTAAAAGTTTTTCAATCAGGTTTCTGTGCAATACCATCTAACCAGCTGCTTGTAAGATTCCATCTTGCCTTATTTCTCAGGAGAAACAATGAATAAAGGTTTTTTAAAATAACTTATTTAAAATTAAATTTTAAATTGACAACCTATGTTAAGACCTAAACTTATGATCTATTAAAATAATTATAAAAATAGTATTAAAGTAGTACATGTTTGCTGTTGAAGTTTTAAAGAAAGTCAATCCACTGAACTGGGGAAAAGCACTGGTTAAGCACCAAGAACCAGAGTTTGTTGAAG